TTTTCTCATATTCCTTAGATGTTTTCATATTGTTTCATGAAAGACATGCAATTTCAGGGCCATTTCACGAGTGTGATGCCTTGGGTTAGACTCAAGAAGTGTCTTCAGAGTATCAATATCAATTCCAACATGTCGGCCCCTGCCATCACAGCTTTTAAGGCTAAAGTCACCCGAACGAAATTTGTTGAACCATCGTGTGCCATCACTATAAAGGATTAGAGTATATTAAATTTTACACATTATATAGGCTACGCTAATGTGACGTTTAGTTGGTTCATTTAACTATTATACGTGATGTACGTTTTTTTGGGAGGTGGTTAATGAAAGTATTCCAAAATACGACATTAATTTCTTGATAACCTAGTACATACACATTTGAACTATTGAGCTATATAGCCATTGCCCCTAGCCATTTTAAAAGCTAAGCTTTATTAATAACTGTTCAGAACACATAAAAGGCTGGCAACACAGGGCTATATTAATAAAAATTGACAAAGAAGAAATATTAACTGAAATATAAACTATGGGTCTTTATAATTCCAATGGATGATTGGTTCATAGCAAATATAAACCTGTACTTGTTGATGGTCACAAAAAATGCCAGATCTGTTATTTACAGATGAGGCTTTCCAGAGCTGCATGCAAATGAAAGATGGATATTTTCTTAATTCCTTCCATATAGGGTTGATGTATTACACTGACTTTTAATCTCAATGTAACCATCAGAGTTTCCATACTATAACTTTTAGCCAAAATTGCAAAGCTTTTGTACACAAGAAATCACTGCAAGGTGTTTTTAATATTAAGATTAAAAAATACTTTTCTTCATCTGGAAATTTTCAAATTTCATTTGTGTAATCTATAAAACCTTCTAACCTGTTATTTTCGATACCGAAGTCTCTAAATCTAAATTATTCCTTTTTCTTTCAAGAAAGACTGCAAATTGTAACAAACAACTACAACTGTTTATTCTGAATAGCTTAATGCTGATAAATATACATCATACTTTGCATCCGTTCTCAAGGCATACGATATTACATGCTGAACGAAAATTTTGCTGAAGGGTTGCACATGTCTCCCAAAGAAACTGTAATATGCCTCAAAGGCATCATTGAGTTGTGTCAAGATGAATAATAAATAGTAAAGGACAAGAAAGGAAAATAAAATATTAAAAATAAACTATATGTGAAAAGGAGAAGAGCTGAAATTATAAATTAAACAAAAGGAAAAAGCTTTAAAGATATTCTACTAAAAATGATAAGGTATGTATTTTTTTCTCTTTCCTAATATTAATTATTTCATTGCATTGTCTATTGATGACAATAGTTAGAGTTAGTGATATGGTAGAGAAAATAAAGATTTACCTTAAAAAACTTCTGATATCCTTTTAGGAGGTTCTAGAGATTATGCAAACGAAATGTGAAAACTACAAAAATAAGAAAAGTATTTTTATACCTAAAATGAAAAATCACCTTGAACTATTTTAACAGTATGAGTGTAAATAACTACTATAGATAAAAAAAAAAACTCATTCTGACTCCTTTTAGTTTCTTATTATTATTTTCTTTTCTTAAAAACTTAAGTTTCTTTAGTAGAGGTTTGGTGTGTATAACACCTTGCTTTTGTTTTAAGTACTTGGTATTTGTGGTCGTTGATGCTCCACTTTTGTATACTTACCTTGATTTGTAACTTTTGTTCATATATTTTATGTAACTTAATTTTTCCTTTTATAACTCTTTGCAAAATATTGTTTTTTATATTACTTAGTCCTGTTTTACTTTATCTAAAAAAAGAAGTGTGGGCCTTAGACTAGAGAGTAAAGATAGTAAGAAGGAGAGAAAAAAATAATTATTACGAGTAGCTTAATTATTGTAGTACTACTTGTAGTACTAGTACCAGTGACGGAACAAGCAGTTCAGGGGTCCCCAGAGCAAAGAAAGGATTGAGGCCCCTTTTTTAGAAGATAAAATCAGACTATGTCCCCCAGGCATCACAGCATTGCCCTTCTGCCCCACACTAGTTCTGACTCTGAGTAGTATGTACAAATCTCAGAAGCTTATATTTCTAAATATTGAATTATATTTTTATTATCAAATAAATATAAAAATTAGCTAAAGTTTTTGAAATAAAAAATAATACAAAAGTCACAACCTCTTTCAGTTCAAAGTACTAAGACTAATCCAATTGTAAAAATCATGCACTTGCCACATCGGTAAATCTTAACTCAAACATTTGTGAATCAGCTTTTTTTCCTAAAAACATTTATTTTCAGTTAATACTGCAATGTAATGATTAACATAAATATGTAAGCAATATCATATGATCTTTGATGCTACAGAAAAATGATAATCATGTACCTGCCATGCAGTTCTTTCCAAAGGCAAGATTTGCAAGGCATATAACAAAAGACTATGACCTACACTAAGTGTAATCTCAAAATAAAATGTCAATTTTCATAATAAAAACTGTCCACTTTCCTATTTTAAAACACAACACACAACATTTCATCACATGCTTTCCTTATCATCTTATGATTTGCCAAATGTGAAATACAGTGTATTGAATGAGACTGTACCAAAATTGACACCTTACAACTAGGATTGGTTAAAATTTTACAATTGTTGTTAAACATACCCAAACACTGTTTTGTAAATAAAAAAGATTAGAAAGAGGTTTAAATACTGACCACAGATGGCAGAACAAGCATTAAAGTGTGAGGAAAAAGTTTAAAAAATGTTGAAAGAAAATGTTTTAGAGGATGCTTATTTAGTCTAAAACACGTTGGATTTTTTAAAATATCTATTTAAAATTCATTGAATAAAACAATTTATAACAAATAATTAAATATTATATTACTATTAAAAAAGATAAAACCTGAATTACACTTTCAAATAATTATTCTATAATTTTTCCATTCACAAAGTGCAAGACACAATGGATCAGGAAGTTATAGGGTTAAATAATACACCTAAAAACACAGAATAATAATATGCACAAAGTAAACAAAGTCCTTCAATTATTATAATTTAACCGTCTTTCTAATTATGAAATAAGAGCCTTAAAATAATTCCCTAAACTTCTCGATCTGAACACCACAAGAGAAACTTTCAAACTGAAGATGAAATAAACAATACTCTGTGCTGAAAACAATGTAATATGTCATATGATAAATTAAAACCTTGTGAAAGAGAAGATCTAACAGGTGGACATGGTCTCATTTTCTAGTTTATGTCTCTGTAAACTAAGAAGATTGAAAGATATAAAAATTAGACTTTGCCTTAGTAATATCTATATTATAATAAATAATTTACATTAAACTTTATACCTCAGAGAGGGGTGGTAATTAAATTAGAGAATGGGCAAGACAAAAAACAAATGTCACAATTCTCATAGAATGGGAGATTGAGGACTTATTTAAATATTTCCTTTTTAAAATTAAAACATATATAATATTAACATTTGGTTTATTAATTATGTTTCAATGTAAAGTATATTCATATACATTAGTAATAAGGTGTTTCCATTAAATCCCAGAGCTGCTCAATTGGGTTGAGACTGGGGCTCTGTGGAGGCCATTGCATCATTTGAATGACTCCAGCAGCTTCTTTCTTAGCTAAGTAATTTCTGAATAGGTTGGATGAGTGTTTGGGGTCATTATCTTCTTGGCAGTAGAATCCTTTACCAACAATATGTAAACCCCTAGGTATACCATGATGGATCAGTATTTGATGGTACTTGCGCTGGTCCATTATTCAATCTATTTTGCAAATATCTCCTGTCA